CTTCGGGAATGGTCTCGTTACCAAAGAAGAAGTGGTTGAGTCGTTTTCCCCTCCAGGCAGCAACAAAGGTACCGCATGATGTCTTCCAGCCGCAAAAGGAAATCCGTCCTGCGCCAGCCTGCCAGGGGCCTGGTAGTCAGGAGGTACATCACCACTGTCTTAAAGGTATAGCTGGAAAATCCTGTGCCCGTCAGCATACAGGTGCAGAGTTGCAGGCAGTTGAGGTGGAAGCTGTCAGCTGGGACCTCCCTGGCCATCAACCGGAAGAGTTTGCCTCTGCCACGCTGGAGCTCAGTGACCATGTTGTGCTTGAGGTACAGAGAGCCTCTGTAGCCTGGCTGCTCAGAAGATGTCTGAGTTGCCTTGCTGCACGCCAGGCATCATCTCAATGAGCAAGGTTCTCCAGAGATATGTATCAGCTGCAGCTTGCAGGAGCGGCTGGAAGGCAGCACCTTCATACTGTAGTGACGTGACTGAGGCAGAAACTCCCAGGCTGAACTCACAAAGTCCTGAAGCCATACGGCAGTCTTCTGCACATCTAGGTAGGAGCCGGTGCAGAGGGTGTGTAGGAGGCTGGGCTTCTGATTCTTCCTCAGTGCCTCCTCGGGGTGGTGATGGAAGCACAGCGTGTCCCCCAATGTCTCCTCCGTCCTGCATGTGCACACCAGTTCCACACGGATGCAGAAGTCCAGCAGCCTCTTGCCCACGGCACCCACCTCCAGGTGGAAGGCATTCTCACGGGGGGGCCTCAGGGGCACAAGCAGACGGTAGACAGCGTCATCTTCATGGGGACTCCAGCATTCAAAGGCACTGCCCACCCCGATGGCTGCTTCCAGCACTGGGAAGAAATCACTTGACAAGCGCCGTCGAGAAGCACGGAAGAGGCTACCCACCAGCAGGAACACCAAATTGCTCTCGTCTTGCAGTTTCCGCACTGGCCACCTGATGCGCCTTGCAAAATAACTGCCCACATCTCTCTCACCATCGGCATCCTCTCCTTCATTCTCTGCCTCCTCCTGCTCTTCCTCCTCAGAGCTAGAGCTCTCCTCATCACTGCTGCTGCTCTCCTCGTCACTGCTGCTGTCCTCCTCATGGCTTCTTTTCCTGAGCCACCAGTACAGTCTGACACTCAGGATAGAACAGCCAAGCCTTTTTTCATCCCAAGTGTTAGTGCTGCAAGGCAAAGAGCAGGGTTCTCCAGACCACGTAACTCTGCCCCTTGCTCTCCTCTTGCCTCAGCTGCTTCACCTTCTGCAGCAGCCAAACCATCTCCTGGTTCAGCAGCCCCAAAAGCTGCTGCATGCGGTCAGGTGTGGTTTCATGTGGCTCATGAGTGACCACGGCCAAGTTCAGGATGAGAATTAGCAGTAACCACACAAAGAGGTATGTGACAGCCATGGCCTGCAGGAGACAGAAGGCATTCAGTGGGGCTGGGATGGAGGGAGGGAGGGAGGGCGGGGAGGGAAGGAAGGAAGGAAGGAGGGAAGGAGGGAGGGGCAGGGATGGAGGCTGCAGTGTGGGGAGTGGGGCCGGGAGCTGCGTAGGGAGCTGCAGGGAGCTGGGATAAGGCAGGAGAGGGAATGAGGCAGCTGGGAGGCAGCAAGGCCTGTGCGAGGCCCGGGGCCAGCAGCAGTGTGCCCTGCCCATGCGCTTGCAGCCAGTGCTCCGATGCAGGGTGAGCACCCCCCCCTGGGGCCTGTGTTTCTGCCCTGCCCCTTGTCCAGCCCAGCCTCCCCCCTGCGTGCGCACTCACTGCTGCCCCAGGCCGTACTGGGCCAGTGCTGCCTGCTGGCACCCTCATAACCATCCCCCATTGTGACACGCCCCCAGTGCTGTCCCAGGCGCCGCGTTGCATCGCGGGCTCACCAGCCCCAGCCTGTATCCTTCTGTGGCCCCTTCCAGCCGACCTTCCCCACGCCTGTCCGGCTGCATGGGGCTGTCGTTACCCAAGTGCAGGACCCGGTACTGAGTAACATCCTTTGGTTCTTCTCCCCTTGTGGAGCCCAAAGCTGCCCACAGTACTCAGGGTGAGAGCGCAGCAGGGCTGAGTACGGGCGCTCAGCCCCTTCTGTCGCCCGGCCAGCCATAGTGTGCCTAATGCAGGAGACAGTGGCCCGTTTGGCCTCCAGGGCACATTGCTGACTCCTGTGGAGCTGACCATCAAGCACAGCCCCTGGCGCCTTTTCCATAGCCCACACCCTCACAGACCCAGTGCTTGTGTGTTCCGCAGGAGATCTGCTTGGCATCTTTGCATAGGGGAACACAGGTTCTTCCTTTCCTCCGGTATTCTACATTCTGTCCTTTATTTTGCCTCCTATGAGGTCGTCATGTGTCCTCAGCTATGAACTCGGCAAATACAGCTTTCTGCAGGAAAATGAGTGCCAGTTGAAAAGCTCTCTTCTAAGCCGAAACTGCAGCTCCCTGAAGTCACTCATTGCCTGCTCATGAGCAGCTGGATCCTGTGCCAAGTTCTGCAAGAGGTTGAGTGGCTCAGCTCTTTGCAAGGCCGGGGGCAAGATGATCTCTTCGGGAATGGTCTCGTTACCAAAGAAGAAGTGGTTGAGTCGTTTCCCCTCCAGGCAGCAACGAAGGTACCGCATGATGTCTTCCAGCCGCAAAAGGAAATCCGTCCTGCGCCAGCCTGCCAGGGGCCTGGTAGTCAGGAGGTGCATCACCACTGTCTTAAAGGTATAGCTGGAAAATCCTGTGCCCGTCAGCATACGGGTGCAGAGTTGCAGGCAGTTGAGGTGGAAGCTGTCAGCTGGGACCTCCCTGGCCATCAACCGGAAGAACTTTGCCTCTGCCACGCTGGAGCTCAGTGACCATGTTGTGCTTGAGGTACAGAGAGCCTCTGTAGCCTGGCTGCTCACGAAGATGTCTGAGTTGCCTTGCTGCACGCCAGGCATCATCTCAATGAGCAAGGTTCTCCCAGAGATATGTATCAGCTGCAGCTTGCAGGAGCGGCTGGAAGGCAGCACCTTCATACTGTAGTGACGTGACTGAGGCAGAAAGTCCCAGGCTGAACTCACAAAGTCCTGAAGCCATACGGCAGTCTTCTGCACATCTAGGTAGGAGCCGGTGCAGAGGGTGTGTAGGAGGCTGGGCTTCTGATTCTTCCTCAGTGCCTCCTCGGGGTGGTGATGGAAGCACAGCGTGTCCCCCAGTGTCTCCTCCGTCCTGCATGTGCACACCAGTTCCACACGGATGCAGAAGTCCAGCAGCCTCTGGCCCACGGCACCCGCCTCCAGGTGGAAGGCGTGCCCACGGGGGGGCCTCAGGGGCACAAGCAGACGGTAGACAGCGTCATCTTCATGGGGACTCCAGCATTCAAAGGCACTGCCCACCCCGATGGCTGCTTCCAGCACTGGGAAGAAATCACTTGAAAAGTGCCGTCGAGAAGCACGGATGAGGCTACCCACCAGCAGGAACACCAAATTGCTCTCGTCTTGCAGTTTCCGCACTGGCCACCTGATGCGCCTTGCAAAATAACTGCCCACATCTCTCTCACCATCGGCATCCTCTCCTTCATTCTCTGCCTCCTCCTTTCCTTCCTCCTCAGACTAGAGCTAGAGACATCAAGCCATTAGAAGTTCTGAAGACTGCTGCTGTCCTCCTCATGGCTTCTTTTCCTGAGCCACCAGTACAGTCTGACACTCAGGACGAGCAGGACGCCAGCAATCAGACCCAATTGCCAGTGTTGCAAGGCAAAGAGCAGGGTTCTCCAGACCACGTAACTCTGCCCCTTGCTCTCCTCTTGCCTCAGCTGCTTCACCTTCTGCAGCAGCCAAACCATCTCCTGGTTCAGCAGCCCCAAAAGCTGCTGCATGCGGTCAGGCGTGGTTTCATGTGGCTCATCAGTGACCACGGCCAAGTTCAGGATGAGAATTAGCAGTAACCACACAAAGAGGTATGTGACAGCCATGGCCTGCAGGAGACAGAAGGCATTCAGTGGGGCTGGGATGGAGGGAGGGAGGGAGGGAGGGGAGGGAAGGAAGGAAGGAAGGAGGGAAGGAGAGAGGCAGGGATGGAGGCTGCAGTGTGGGGAGTGGGGCCGGGAGCTGCAGCAGGAGCTGCAGGGAGCTGGGGACAGGCAGGAGAGGGAATGAGGCAGCTGGGAGGCAGCAAGGCCTGTGCGAGGCCCGGTGCCAGCAGCAGTGTGCCCTGCCCATGCGCTTGCAGCCAGTGCCTCGATGCAGGGTGAGCACCCACCCCCAGGGGCCTGTGTTTCTGCCCTGCCCCTTGTCCATCCCAGCCTCCCCCCTGCGTGCGCACTCACTGCTGCCCCAGGCCGTACTGGGCCAGTGCTGCCTGCTGGCACCCTCATAACCATCCCCCATTGTGACACGCCCCCAGTGCTGTCCCAGGCGCCGCGTTGCATCGCGGGCTCACCAGCCCCAGCCTTTATCCTTCTGTGGCCCCTTCCAGCCGACCTTCCCCACGCCTGTCCGGCTGCATGGGGCTGTCGTTACCCAAGTGCAGGACCCGGTACTGAGTAACATCCTTTCGTTCTTCTCCCCTTGTGGAGCCCAAAGCTGCCCACAGTACTCAGGGTGAGAGCGCAGCAGTGCTGAGTACGGGCGCTCAGCCCCTTCTGTCGCCCGGCCAGCCATAGTGTGCCTAATGTGCCCCAGGAGACAGTGGCCCGTTTGGCCTCCAGGGCACATTGCTGACTCCTGTGGAGCTGACCATCAAGCACAGCCCCTGGCGCCCTTTCCATAGCCCACACCCTCACAGACCCAGTGCTTGTGTGTTCCGCAGGAGATTTACTGGCATCTTTGCATAGGGGAACACAGGGTTCTTCCTTTCCTCCGGTATTCTACATTCTGTCCTTTATTTGCCTCCTCTATGAGGTGGTCATCTGTCCTCGGCTGTGAACTCGGCAAATACAGCTTTCTGCAGGAAAATCAGTGCCAGTTGAAAAGCTCTCTTCTAAGCCGAAACTGCAGCTCCCTGAAGTCACTCATTGCCTGCTCATGAGCAGCTGGATCCTGTGCCAAGTTCTAAGAAGGGTTCAGTGGCTCAGCTCTTTGCAAGGCCGGGGGCAAGATGATCTCTTCGGGAATGGTCTCGTTACCAAAGAAGAAGTGGTTGAGTCGTTTCCCCTCCAGGCAGCAACGGAAACCCAGGATGATGTCTTCCAGCCGCAAAAGGAAATCCGTCCTGCGCCAGCCTGCCAGGGGCCTGGTAGTCAGGAGGTGCATCACCACTGTCTTAAAGGTATAGCTGGAAAATCCTGTGCCCGTCAGCATCCGGGTGCAGAGTTGCAGGCAGTTGAGGTGGAAGCTGTCAGCTGGGACCTCCCTGGCCATCAACCGGAAGAACTTTGCCTCTGCCACGCTGGAGCTCAGTGACCATGTTGTGCTTGAGGTACAGAGAGCCTCTGTAGCCTGGCTGCTCACAAAGATGTCTGAGTTGCCTTGCTGCACGCCAGGCATCATCTCAATGAGCAAGGTTCTCCCAGAGATATGTATCAGCTGCAGCTTGCAGGAGCGGCTGGAAGGCAGCACCTTCATACTGTAGTGACGTGACTGAGGCAGAAACTCCCAGGCTGAACTCACAAAGTCCTGAAGCCATACGGCAGTCTTCTGCACATCTAGGTAGGAGCCGGTGCAGAGGGTGTGTAGGAGGCTGGGCTTCTGATTCTTCCTCAGTGCCTCCTCGGGGTGGTGATGGAAGCACAGCGTGTCCCCCAATGTCTCCTCCGTCCTGCATGTGCACACCAGTTCCACACGGATGCAGAAGTCCAGCAGCCTCTGGCCCACGGCACCCGCCTCCAGGTGGAAGGCGTGCCCACGGGGGGGCCTCAGGGGCACAAGCAGACGGTAGACAGCGTCATCTTCATGGGGACTCCAGCATTCAAAGGCACTGCCCACCCCGATGGCTGCTTCCAGCACTGGGAAGAAATCACTTGACAAGTGCCGTCGAGAAGCACGGATGAGGCTACCCACCAGCAGGAACACCAAATTGCTCTCGTCTTGCAGTTTCCGCACTGGCCACCTGATGCGCCTTGCAAAATAACTGCCCACATCTCTCTCACCATCGGCATCCTCTCCTTCAGTCTCTGCCTCCTCCTGCTCTTCCTCCTCAGAGCTAGAGCTCTCCTCATCACTGCTGCTGCTCTCCTCGTCACTGCTGCTGTCCTCCTCATGGCTTCTTTTCCTGAGCCACCAGTACAGTCTGACACTCAGGACGAGCAGGACGCCAGCAATCAGACCCAATTGCCAGTGCTGCAAGGCAAAGAGCAGGGTTCTCCAGACCACGTAACTCTGCCCCTTGCTCTCCTCTTGCCTCAGCTGCTTCACCTTCTGCAGCAGCCAAACCATCTCCTGGTTCAGCAGCCCCAAAAGCTGCTGCATGCGGTCAGGTGTGGTTTCATGTGGCTCATCAGTGACCACGGCCAAGTTCAGGATGAGAATTAGCAGTAACCACACAAAGAGGTATGTGACAGCCATGGCCTGCAGCAGACAGAAGAAGGCATTCAGTGGGGCTGGGATGGAGGGAGGGAGGGAGGGACGGAGGGAGGGAAGGAAGGAAGGAAGGAGGGAAGGAGAGAGGCAGGGATGGAGGCTGCAGTGTGGGGAGTGGGGCCGGGAGCTGCATCAGGAGCTGCAGGGAGCTGGGGACAGGCAGGAGAGGGAATGAGGCAGCTGGGAGGCAGCAAGGCCTGTGCGAGGCCCGGGGCCAGCAGCAGTGTGCCCTGCCCATGCGCTTGCAGCCAGTGCCTCGATGCAGGGTGAGCACCCACCCCCAGGGGCCTGTGTTTCTGCCCTGCCCCTTGTCCAGCCCAGCCTCCCCCCTGCGTGCGCACTCACTGCTGCCCCAGGCCGTACTGGGCCAGTGCTGCCTGCTGGCACCCTCATAACCATCCCCCATTGTGACACGCCCCCAGTGCTGTCCCAGGCGCCGCGTTGCATCGCGGGCTCACCAGCCCCAGCCTTTATCCTTCTGTGGCCCCTTCCAGCCGACCTTCCCCACGCCTGTCCGGCAGCATGGGGCTGTCGTTACCCAAGTGCAGGACCCGGTACTGAGTAACATCCTTTGGTTCTTCTCCCCTTGTGGAGCCCAAAGCTGCCCACAGTACTCAGGGTGAGAGCGCAGCAGTGCTGAGTACGGGCGCTCAGCCCCTTCTGTCGCCCGGCCAGCCATAGTGTGCCTAATGTGCCCCAGGAGACAGTGGCCCGTTTGGCCTCCAGGGCACATTGCTGACTCCTGTGGAGCTGACCATCAAGCACAGCCCCTGGCGCCCTTTCCATAGCCCACACCCTCACAGACCCAGTGCTTGTGTGTTCCGCAGGAGATTTACTGGCATCTTTGCATAGGGGAACACAGGGTTCTTCCCTGTGTTCAGGGCACAAGCAGACTGTGTTCAGGCACAAGCAGACGGTAGACAGCGTCATCTTCATGGGGACTCCAGCATTCAAAGGCACTGCCCACCCCGATGGCTGTTTCTAGCACCGGGAAGAAACTACTTGACTGCGGTCCCTTGTCCATCATACATGTGCACGCCTTCTCCACATGGACGCAGAAGTCTTCCGCCAGCACCTGTCCTGTGATGCCCACCTCCAGGTGGAAGGTGTTCCCATGGAGGGGCTTCAGAGGCATAAGCAGGCTGCAGACAGCATCATCTTCATTGGGAGTCTGGCCTTCAAAATGCTGTCCACCCCTATGGCTTGTTCCAGCACTGGGACGAAACTTCGACAATTGTTCTCAGCAAGCACGGAGGAGCTTGTCCACCAGCCACAACACCACCTCGCTCTTGTAGTGCAGTTTCTGCCGTGAACACTGGATGCCCTTTGAAAAATACGTCTGAAAATCTCTCTGAGTCTCAATGTCTTTGTCTTTCTTACAGTTCCTTTTCCTGAGCCACCAGTAGATTCTCACTCGACAAGCACAAGCAGGCTGTAAACAGCGTCATCAGTAGTGAGCCTTCTTGAATCTCATAGAGTTCGCCTCATTCCACCAGTCCAACCTGTTTCACAAAGAATATTAAGAGCTTAAATAATAATAACTATTGATATAAAATTGTGACATGTTAACATTTGTAATTGGCAGTGATAGGGACTGTCTGGAAAAAAACCAGCTTGAATTAATAGACAACCAGACTGTAAGCACTAATAACAGCTCAAGTTAGTTAGTTATATAATGTGTGTGATATAAAGTTCTTAACCTATGGGAGTCCCTATGGGGTAGAAGACAGGTTCAGCCTGACTGATCCCAGAAGTCACGATGAAGTTTCCCTTATGTCCATCCCCCCATTCACTTTTATACTTTTTGTTACTCTCAGGTGGATCTTGCGTGACTCTAGTCCTACATTTGTTTATTATTGATTGGTGTAAAGTTGTCTCGAGATATAGCCAATAAATATATAAAGCACATGCTCAGGGAGGGGTTTTCTTACCTTGGAGCTGGGTAACCTTGGGATGGATGTGTGTGTTACTATTATGAGAATATAACCAGCAAGGTTCTCCTAAGGAAAATTATTTTTTCACAGTTGTTGGCTCTGCAATGGACGTATTCTCTTATATTTCCCATTTGACAGCTGCTGTGTGGCTTATCAGTTGTATGGTACCACCAAGTTCCCAGTTCTGCAGGAAGTAAAACAGAACCTGGCTGCAGTGTCTCCACTCCACTCCACTGCACCCTCTAAGTGCTCCTCTAGGATAGCAGGTTGTGTTGCCTAGAGAACCATGGTGGAGTAGATACCATGCATACCAACTGGTCTAAAAGTGGCAACTGTATTTTACCTTAAAAAGGTCTCAATAAGACTACAACTTCTGTCAGATTCCAGTTACAATCATAGAATAGTTAGGGTTGGAAAGGACCTTAAGATCATCAAGTTCCAACCCCCCTGCCATGGGCAGGGACACTTCACACTAAACCATGCCTCATCCAACCTGATCTTGAATGCTGCCAGGGATGCAGCATTCACAGCCTCCCTGGGCAACCCATTCCAGTGCCTCACCACCCTAACAGGAAAATTTTCTTCCTTACGTCCAATCTAAACTTCCCCTGTTTAAGTTTGAACACATTACCCCTTGTCCTACCACTACAGTCCCTAATGAAGAGTCCATCCCCAGCATCAGTGTAGGCCCCCTTCAGATACTGGAAGGCTGCTATGAGGTCTCTACACAGCCTTCTCTTCTCCAGGCTGAACAGCCCCAACTTTCTCAGCCTATCTTCATATGGGAGGTGCTCCAGCCCCCTGATCATCCTCATGGCCCTCCTCTGGACTTGTTCCAACAGTTCCATGTCCTTTTTATGTTGAGGACACCAGAACTGCACATGATACTCCAGGTGAGGTCTCGAGAGCAGAGTAGAGGGGCAGGATCACCTCCTTCGACCTGATGGTCATGCTCCTTTTGATGCATCCCAGGATACGGTTGGCTTTCTGGGCTGCAAGCGCACACTGAAGCCAGCTCATGTTCATTTTCTCATCGACCAACACCCCCAAGTCCTTCTCTGCAGGGCTGCTCTGAATCTCTTCTCTGCCCAACCTGTAGCTGTGCCTGGGATTGCTCCGACCCAGGTGTAGGACCTTGCACTTGGCATGGTTAAACTTCATGAGGTTGGCACCAGCCCACCTCACAGGCGTGTCAAGGTCCCTCTGGATGGCATTCCTTCCCTCCAGTGTATCAACTGAACCACACAGCTTGGTGTCATCGGCAAACTTGCTGAGGGCGCACTCAATCCCACTGTCCATGTCAGCGACGAAGATGTCGAACAAGACTGGTCCCAACACCGATCCCTAAGGGACACCACTCGTTACTGGTCTCCAGCTGGACATTGAGCCATTGACCACAACTCTTTGTGTGTGGTCATCCAGCCAGTTCTTTATCTACTGAGTGATCCACCTATCAAATTGATGTCTCTCCAATTTAGAGACAAGGATGTCATGTAGGACAGTGTCTAACGCTCTGCATAAGTCCAGGTAGATGACATCAACTGCTCTACCTCTGTCCATCAGTTCTGAAGCCCCATCATAGAAGGCCACCAAATTGGTCAGGCAGGATTTCCCCTTAGTGAAGCCATGCTGGCTGTCACCAACCATCTTGTTGATTTTCATGTGCCTTACTTAGCATGCCTTCCAGGAGAATCTGCTCCAACCTTTGCTAGGCAAAGCTGACTGTGTGCTGAAGATCCCCAGCACCAACTTTCCCTCATGGCTCTTCGGCTGTGGGAGCAGAGGCCAGACGTTCGTGCTCTACTCACTGTGCTGCTGGGCAGCCTGGAGCGACCACCAGAGAGGTTGCATTCAAATGGACTTTTAGGAATGAAATCGAGGAGCGACAGCAATGATGGCAGCACCGTTGCAAAGCTGACTGTGTGCTGAAGATTCCCAGCACCAGATTTCCCTCGTGGCTCTTTGTCTGTGGGAGCAGAGGCCAGGCACGGAGGTGAGACTGACTGGTCTGTAATTCCCCAGGTCATCCATTTTCCCCTTCCTGAAAATGGGGGTTATATTTCCCTTTTTCCAGTTGTCGGGAACTTCACATGACTGCCATGATTTTTCAAATACGATGGACAGTGGCTTAGCAACTTCATTTGCCAGCTCCTTCAGGACCCGTGGATGGATTTCGTCAGGTCCTATGGACTTGTGTACATTCAGGTTCTTAAGATGGTCTCGAACCAGATCCTCTCCTACAGTGGGCCCAAGGTCTTCATTCTCACAGTCCCTGCGTCTGCCTTCCAAGACGTGGGTGGTGCGGTCAGAGCCTTTGCCAGTGAAGACTAACGCAAAGAAGCCATTCAGAACCTCAGCCTTCTCCAAATCCTGGGTAGCCAGTTCTCCTAATAGCTTCTGGAGGGGGCCTACATTGTGCCTGGTCTGTTTTTTATTCACTACATACCTATAGAATCCCTTCCTGTTATCCTTAATATCCTTAGCCAAGTTTAATTCTAATTGGGCCTTAGCTTCCCTAATGTGGTCCCTAGCTTCCCGGACAACATCCTTGTACTCATCCCAGGCTGCCTGTCCTTGCTTCCACCTTTTATAAGCCTTTTTTTTCCTTCAAAGTTTCCTCAGCAGCTCCTTATCCATCCAAGGAGGTCTCCTGGCCCTCCTGCTGCACTTCCTTCTAGTCGGGATGCAACACTCCTGAGCTTGTAGCAGCTGATTCTTGAATATCAACCAAGAGTCTTGGGCCCCCCTGCCCTCTGGGGCTATATCCCATGGAAACTTACTAAGCAGGTTCCTGAAGAGGCCAAAGTCTGTTCTCTTGAAGTCCAGGGCAGTGAGCTTGCTGCACGCTCTTCTCACTGTCCTGAGGATCTTGAATTTGACCATCTCATGATCAGTGCATCCAAGGCTGCCCTGGAGCATCACATTTCCAACGAGCCCTTCCCTGTTGGTGAGCATGAGGTCAAGCATGGCACCTCTCCTTGACGGCTGTTACTTGCAGAAGGAAGTTGTCTTCCACACAATCAAGGAACCTCCTGGATTGCTTGTTGGGCCATACTGTCGCTCCAACAGATGTCAGGGTAGTTGAAGTCACCCATGAGAACAAGGGCCTGTGAGCGTGAGGCTTTTCCTATCTGTCTGTAGAGTACTTCATCCGCAGGTTCCTCTTGATCAGGCGGTCTGTAACAGATCCCCACAGTAATGTCCCACATAGCTGTTCTCCCTTATCCCTGACCCACAAACGCCCTGTTAACTGCTCACCTGTCCCCAGACAGAGTTCCATACTCTCCAGCCTATCCCTAACATAAAGGGCAACTCCTCCTCCCTGACCGCCAGGCCTGTGTTTTCTAAAGAGCCTGTAACCTTCCATTCCAACACTCCAGTCATAGGAGCCATCCCACCATGTTTCTGTGATGCCTATTATATCATACCCCCGTAGACAAGCACACATCTCTTAATTCCTCATTTATTCCCCACGCTATGGGCGTTTGTATAGAGGCATCTGAGCCGAGCTCCAAATGAAGCCGGCTCATTGTCTGGAGCCACTGGAATATCTCTACATTGCTCCAAGCATTTATTATAGGTGCTGGCAACTGACTGGGTGTGTTGGGATGGAATGATGCCCCCCTCCCCCAACACATCTAGTTTAAAGCCTCCTTGACCAGCCTGGCAAGGCTCCTACCAAAACCACTCTTTCCATTCTTTAGCAGCAGCTCCACCATCCCCCACTAGACCTGGCCTACAAACTTGGGTCCCATATTCAAGACACCCAAACCCCTGACTATGACACCACCCTTTTAACCATTTATTAACCTGGCTAATCCTCCTAGCCTTTCTGGGGTCCTCCCCTTTATCCCGGAGAACTGACGAAAAGACAATCTGAGCTCCAGAGCCCTTAACCACCTCTCCCAGGGCTCTGTAGTCCTTCTTTATGTTCCCCAGACTACTGCTATCTATATTACTAGCACCCACATGTATCACCAGAAGTGGGTAATAGTCCATGGGGCTTACTAGAGCAGGCAGCCTCTCTGCAACATCCCTGATCCATGCCCCAGGTCAGCAACACACCTCCCTTGAGACTGGGTCAGGCTGACAGACGAGTGCTTCTGTCCCTTTCAGAGTAGTATCCCCTACTGCTACAACCCGCCGCTTTTTTCTCGCAGCACCAGTAGTAATCTTCTGTAGCACTGCATCAGCCGGCTGTTTATGGTGCGGGTGCGTTTCCTCATCAGTCCTCTGCAGGCCAGCAAAGCGGTTCTGGGTGGAGACATCAGGAGGAAGCCCCTTGCTTTTAATTGTCCTCTTCCTCTTTGTTGTTGTTTGTTTTTGTTATTATTTCCCAGCTTCCCGGGTTAACAGCCTCCTTCTTCCTCCATCAGCTACAGTGGGCGCTTGAGGCCCCTGCAGTTAGGGCCTGGAGCAAGCAGTCCTTCTTCCTCTCAGCTTCCCTGACATCTTTTAGCATAGCATCCCGTTAGCATCCCGCAGCTCAGGCCCTGCTGCAGGAGGACCTCCACCAGGGCGCACCGAGCGCAGCCCTGCCCATTGTGCACCTTTCCCTCACCAGACCAGTGCAGGCACTCTCTACACCCCGAGCTCTGCACTGCAGGCTCCGCTCTCATCGGCTCTGTCTGGGTGCCTCCGCTCGCCACCGCAGGGCAGCCAGAGCAGAGCTCCCAGACCGGGCCCTGGTCATAAAGCGAGTGCTCACCATCCCGCTCTCCTGCCCGCACAACTGCCTCGGCCCGCCCTGGGCGCCGCGCTCCCTGGGGCAGGTTTTTACCCAGTCAGGGCTGGTGCCGCTCCTCCTGTCTCTGCCCCTGCGAGTCCCTGCTCGCGTCAGCTGAGCTGCCGGCTCCTGGGCAGGTCCTGTCGAGGACTTGAGGCTCCCAGACTGGCGCTTACCGCTCTGAGTTGAGGCTCCTGGACGCTGATCTCCCCCGCTCCGGTGTTGAAGGCGCCCTCTCTCGAGCCACTCACCTCAGGTACCTCCAATTAATTTACTCTCCCTCCCCCACCAACAGTGATTTTTCCACAAGGGGAATGAATGGTGCAATGAGGACTGCTGATCGTCTGGTGATAATGAGTAGACAGAGGGATCAGAGGATGAATGTGGCAATAGCATTTCTTCCCAGCCCCTGGTGATAGCTGGAGCACCTCTCCTACGAAGACAAGCTGAGAGAGTTGGGCTTGTTCAGCCTGGAGAAGAGAAGGTTCCAGGGAGAGCTTATAACAGCCTTCCAGTGCCTAAAGAGACCTACAAGAAATCTGGAGAGGGATGTTTTATAAGGACATGTAGTGACAGAGCAAGGGGGAATGGTTTTGAACTGAAAAAGGGTAGATTTAGTTTAGATATAAGGGGAAAATTCTTCACTATGAGGGTGGTGAGACACTGGCACAGGTTGCACAGAAAAGCTGTGCCTGCTCCATCCCTGGCAGCGTTCAAGGCCACGTTGAATGGGGCTCTGAGCAACCTGGTCTAGTGGAAGGTGTCCCTGCCCATGGCAGGGAGGTTGGATCTAGATGAGCTTTAAGGTCCCTTTCAGTACAAACCTTTCTATGATTCTATTAAACATTCTTGCAATTGGAATAAATTCTCCTGCTCTCGTGAGACCTCACTTGGAGTATTGTGTACAGTTCTGGTGTCCTCAACATAAAAAGGACATGGAACCGTTGGAACAAGTCCAGAGGAGCGCCACGAGGATGATCAGGGGACTGGAGCACCTCCCGTATGAAGATCGGCTGAGAAAGTTGGGGCTGTTCAGCCTGGAGAAGAGAAGGCTGCGTGGAGACCTCATAGCAGCCTTCCAGTATCTGAAGGGGGCCTACAATGACGCTGGGGATGGACTCTTCATTAGGGACTATAGTGATAGGACAAGGGGTAATGGGTTAAAACTTAAACAGGGGAAGTTTAGATTGGATATATGGAGGAAATTCTTTCCTGTTAGGGTGGTGAGGCACTGGAATAGGTTGTCCAGGGAGGTTGTGAATGCTTCATTCCTGGCAGTGTTCAAGGCTAGGTTGGACGAAGCCTTGGGTAATATGGTTTAGAGCGAGGTGTCCCTGCCCATGGCAGGGGGGTTGGAACTTGATGATCTTAAGGTCCTTTCCAACCCTAACTATTCTATGATTCTACAATTCTAAATTCTATGATTCAGAAAGCAAAGGAGTCCCCAGGGGCTCTGGTGGTGTGCTTCAAGATTTAGCAAAAGCATATAGGCGAATGAGGGGGTAAAGGCTGGCACACTGGTTGTTGCAAGTATGGGACTTTGAAGGAAATAGTGTACACTTAAATCCTGAAGAATTGGAGTGCATGGGTGACATCTCACAAACCCCTGATGACCCAGCAGCACAGGGTAATGCAGCTTGCCCCTCATGAGCATGGCTTTGGGAGACTTTGAAGACAGAATATCTGTTACCTAATGACTGCAATGATAAAACAGCATTGTGGAAAAGTATAGCTGAGGCTTGTCATATGGGAATTGGCCACACTGCCAGGTGTGTATACATCTAACTTGTTAGATGCTGATATGAAACCTTTTGCACCCAGCATGAAAACCCCCGTATTGGAGGGTGTATCATTGTCCTGGGTTTGGCTGTAAGTTATTTTTCTCCTTCTTAGTAGCTGGTGCACTGCTATGTTTTGGTGTCAGTCTGAGAAAAATGCTGATAACACACCCATGGTTTTAGTTGTTACTAATACTTACCCCAATCAAGGACTTTTCAGTCTTTCCGGCTTTGGCGGTGATGAGGGGCACAAGTCAGGAGGGAGCAGAGACAGGACACCTGACCTGAACTAGCCAAAGGGGTATTCCATACCACAGCACATCATGCCCAGTATATAAACTGGGGGGAGTTACCTGGAAGGGCCAAATCGCTGCTCAGGGTGCACTGGGTATTGGTCTGCAGGTGGTGGGCAATTATGCTGTGCATCACTTGTGTTTATTGTTTGGGAGCTTTTTTCCTCTTCCCTTTTTAGGTTTTATATTCTCTTCCCTTGTTACTTCCCCTATTATTAATATTATTATTATTTAGTTATTGGACTGTTCTTATCTCAACCCATGGGATTTACATTGTTTTGATTCTCCTACCCATCCAGCCCAGAGTGGGGAGAAAAAGGGGGGAGTGAGCGAGTGGCTGTGTGGTTCTGAGTTACCGGCTAGGCTTAAACCATGACAACCATTTAACTTGAAAGGACTAATAATTTCCTTACTAGGGGCTGCTGTGGGAAAACCAGTGGGAGAGGTTATTCTATCACTTGCAATTATCAGACAGAAAATGAAGAGACAGATCCTGAAGCATTTCAAAGGCAGCAGCTCAGGTTCACAGGAGAACATCTGGCTGCACTGTTCCGCAAGGACATGGCTATGCAGGTGGTGTAATCACTGTCACTGAGCAGGAGGTGCCTGCCACCTCCAATTTTAGAACAGTTGGCTGAGTTTTTCCCATGGTCAACAGGTGTTTGCAGCACAGCACAGGCCTGAAGGGCACACTATATGTGTCATGCAGTACAGCACAGGCACACAGAACAGTGATCATACCCGCATTTGCCTGTGAGTAATGCTAGTACTTCCTGCAGTAGGGCAGGCTGCATTACAACACTGTGTAAACACAGATGGCTGCAAGAAAGTTCACTAGCTTCCTGAACTTACCTAGAACACAGTAATACGGCTATTGAAAGGAAAAAATAAAACTTTAAGCACTTCCCTTCTCTCGTCACTCAGCCATGCAGAATCACTCCCATTTTAATGAGAACATCCGATTTCTCTACCAACGCCAAAGCCCTTCTGCCCCCAGATGAGATACTGTGATCTGAACTGCTGCTTCACACCTAGCAAGCATAAGACAAGAATGAGACAGAACACTTTCTAAATAAATGTATATTTATTTTGCTAAAAAAAGTTATATTTGTACCAGAGGCTTCTTGGTAGTCAGAATGCCCTTCTCAAACAGGAGCGTGGCTAGAGATATCTTATCCTCCAGTGTTTCACATGGAAGAGCATCCACACTGACATGGTTTGGATAAGAAGACAGGAGAAATTCAATGCTGTCTATATGCTCGGGACCTAGCTCAAGAAACTTGGGCTCTTCCTTGTGATACACTCTTGAGTTTTCCGTCGTGTAATACAGCATCACCCCTGCTTCTTCATTACACAATCTAATGATGCCATGGTGGAGGAGACGGACTTCTGTGTCTTTTGTTATCAGAATATCGACATTGCAGGGCCCTCCATCTTGCCACCTGGCTGGGAAGCCATACATACTCTGCAGCTTTTCACTTTGTGTAAGCACTGGGGGTAGACAGTCATGAAGAAACGACTTGGCTCTCTGATCCACAGCAGCATCAATGGGTGCATAGTCAACAAGTTTCTTTATCAGGCTCTGCACCTTCTCCATAAAGGCTGTTCGGCGAGCATCAACTTTGTCTGAGTTGGCAACCCCCATGTATCCCAGGTAGTCCATGGGAAGCCCTTGCCGGAACTCCACATCCTCCTCCAGGGCCATGTGCAGGGCAGCTGGCAGGAGCTTCTCCAGGAGGTCCCCCCAGGAGTTCCTCTGGTAGGAAGACACAGTGATGTGGAGGGAGTGTGCATCAGGAAGGCAGTTGCCCTGGTGGATAAAGCCACGGGGGAAGTACAGCAGGTCCCCAGCCTCCAGCACTGTCTCCAGCATAGGTTCACCAAGCTCAGCCTGTGTGAGGTTCGCACTGGAGAACTGGGGCAGCACTTCAGCATCCACCCGAGGGCTGTAGACACGCCAGTGTTTCTTGCCCTCCAGCTGCAGCACAAAGGCCTCGATGTCATCATAGTGGGGGGCGAAGCCCTGCGTCCCCGGCGGTGTAAGGTATGTGTTGGCCCCCACCATGCTGCCGAAATGCTCCTGCAGGGTGGAGAGGAAGCGCCAGACGGTGTCGGAAAACGTCTGGGGGCTGAGAAGCCGCAGGGAGCAGCCGTTCTGGTAGAAGTCCCACACGACGGCGGGCAAGGCCCTGCCAGATGGGTTGTGCGTCTCCCGCACTCCCTCGGCGTAGCTGGTAACGTCCAGGTGGGTCCCGAAGTGCACCCCGCCACCCCGCAGGGCCGCGTCGAACTCGGCCGTGGAGAAGAGCCCCGTGTAGTAGCCGGGGTCACCCCGCCGCAGCAGCAGCGGCGCCCGCTCCCAGTGCCGCCTCACGAACTCCGCCGGCGATACCGGGGCCAGCAGCCACCGGAACAGCTCCGCCGCCCGCTGGCGGCTGTCGTCCAGCTGCCCCAGCCGCCGCAGCAGCCCGGGCACGCCGCCGCCTTCTCCCGAGCCCTCCGCTGTGCCTCGCTGCCGCTTCGCTTCAGGGCTGCGGGCCGGCGCCTTGGCCCGTTCCACGCGGCTGACGGCAGCGGAGGCACTCGGTTCAGGCGGGGCCTTGGGCTCCGAACCGCCGCCTCCCGCCCCGCCGCCGCCTTCTCCCGAGCCCTCCGCTGTGCCGCGCTGCCCCTTCGCTTCAGCGTTGTGGGCCGGCGCCTTGGCCCGCTCCACGCGGCTGACGGCAGCGGAGGCACTCGGTTCAGGCGGGGCCTTGAGCTTCGGACCGCCGCCTCCCGCCCCGCCGCGCCTCGGCCGCTCCTTGGCCCACTTGCCGCCTGCACGGGGACGCTCGGGCTGCCCGGCCCCGGCCGCCCGCCGGTACACGGACAACGCCGAGAGCCGGCCCAACCGCCGCCGCCGCTCCGCCGCGCTGCCCGCCGCCATGGCCGCCTGCGCTGTGCCACCCCGCCCCATCGGGCCGCTTCCGCCGGGGCTTGTGCATGTGGGTGCCCCGGAGCGTCCGGGAATGGGATCGCGGGAAGAAGGAAACGCCCGCCCACCCACCGGAGGGAGTTTTGGTTGTGTGCTTGTGTAGAAGGAAAGGTCGTACGTTTTACGATTATCCCACTGAAGACATGCCAGGCTCCTTCCCTTCCCCCGCCTCTCAAAAGGAAAAGGGAGGCGACCCGACGCAGATCCGCTCCCTGCTTGGAAAACTGCTCTGGAAGTACGCTCTAAGCCCGTGCGGGAAAACCTTGCACCGCAGGCGCGCCGCCAGGCTGCGCTTCTGGACAGCGCGCAGTTACTTTGTAGCCTAATGAGACGAGAGGAGGTGAAACCTAGCTCGTACGGTTCTGCTACACAAGTAGCAATTCAAGTTGGAGGGAGCCAATTCTGATGTGCCATCCCTCCTCCCTTCACCGTGCTTTTAAAAGCACTGTATATATGCAGTGACAACTGTTTTCATTTTGGAGGTATTTTTCTGACAGAGTTCTACCGGCATAGTCTTTGCAGACAAAAATGTGGGAAAAGCAAAAGAAGCAGGAAACTGTCCTCTTTGTTCCATGATGGTTTTACCTGAAGGCACCGGGTTTTAGACGTGTGTAAGACAACACTCCGATTTAAGGTCTTGAAGGTTTTAGGCTTCGCCAGCAGGTGGCAGAGGCCGACCAGCGCTCAGCACCCGCACGGTGGGGAAATACGCGTGGAACGGGAGATGGCATCTTCCTGGCAGGATGATGTGGTTTAAAATGGGAGGGAAGTGCTGCCTGTGCCTGCATTTGTAGACTGTAAGAGGAAGGAAGGGTGAACTCTATTTCAAACTATTCTTTGTTTTCCCAAAGTTAAGCCCATTTTACCAGAATAATCTTATCAGATTAAACCATTTCAACAGAACAGGGCTATTAACAATCCTGCGATGCAGAAGCTATGAAATATGTTAGATGTCAGGCTGTTGTATGGTGTAATTATATATAAGCCTGGCTAAATAGACTTGGCAGGGGGAAGACCATTGAAAAATCTTGGCACCTGGGTTATTTACTAGTGTTACTATTTAATTTACTGGAGTGCAAGTGATTCTTCTCAGAAGAAGCTGGGCACTGTACAGAGAGCCTGACATGAGTTACACCAGAATATATGTAATGACTGCAGCAAAGCTGCTCTGGATGTTTACCAGTACAGCAAGTTCAAAGTCTCATTCAAGGGCTCTAATCTTCACACGGGTGTCACTTTCTGCTGCTGAGAGACAGATGATTGACATTGGATTTGGTTTTGATGTATAACAAAGTCTCAGAGTGAAGAACATGGTGGAAAATAACAGTGGTGAAATCTCTATAACAATAAAATGTTTCTTTTGACAACTCAGCTTTTCTAGCAGTAAAGCCTTTCAAGAATAAAGAATGTTGCTATTTTTCTGCATGACACAAGAAAAGATTTTGACCTAAGGCAAAAAGAGACAGCTTCAGTATCACTTACATTGTACTCAGATGGTTGTCTAGGAATAGCCACAAGGTCTACATGCTGTTTTCATTCATTATCCATTTCAAGGAAGTTTGTCCTAAAGAAAGAACATTGTCATGTACAGCTCTTTAAATAAACAAAAGGAAAGTAGCCCAGATCTCTGAATGATTAGGTGGTCCCCAGCTGGTGCTCACATAGAGTAGCAACTAGAGGCTCAATTAAATTTCTTAATTAGAATTTAGCACAAAGTCAGATTTTATGACCATATAAGCTGCATTGCCAAGAGCCACATGTGCTTTATTTAAAAGGACATAAAAATGTGGGGAGTACAACTTACTAAAGAGCCACAAGAGACTTTAAAAGAAATAAACAAATGGCACCTCAAAGAAATGTTGGGTTCACTTGATATATTTTAACCTTATGCCTTTCTCCACTCAAATAATTGATATCTTGAGTTTAAAGAGCAGATCAGGCTAGGTCTTATCCTGCAAAGACAGGAACAGTCTTTACTAATGAGTGGAAAGGGCAAAATCCTTAGCAGTTCTCTGATATTAGATACTTGGTTGTTCACCACCATGCAAACTGCCCAGTACTTTCTCTGTGTTCCCAGCAAACCATTAATGTAAACTAGTCACTTTTAGAAACTTAAACTCGGTTTAATCTTTTTTCTCATCATTACTTTGCTTTCAGCCTTCCTTTTGCACTATCACTTTTGTTCTCATGCCAAAAGCAATACCCAGTGAGGAAAAAGATTTCAAGCCTTCACTAATGGGTTTCCTTAGCTAACAGTCTTTCTCATACAGCCTAGTGACATCCAGTATGTCATCACTGGGAGGACACTGGGCTGGATTGTGAAGCCTGCTCCTTGTTGGAAAGCTATAAAGTTCATTGCCAAATAACAAGACTGAAAGCTAATTCAGGAACTGTTTCTCAAGAGCTATCCTCTGGCCCCCTCATCAGAGTGAATGCACTTACTGAAGCATCTCTTGGCAGAGATTTTGGCCTCTCTTCAGCTGTTTCTCCTTAGGGATTCAATGGCTGGTTGTGGTCTTTAATCCTGGTTATCTTGTACACACAGCCCCACTGAGAAAAGAAGTCTTCCCTGCCATGGAACAGTCCAATTAAAACAAATTTATAAAAATAATAATTACAAGGTCCAGTCCTTCCTATGAAATTATCTCTTTAGAGGGATTTGGAAGCACAGATGTTTTCTCTTGTCCCATGTGACACTAATACAAACTTGTAAGTTAAAGCTGAATTTACAAAATGTGTTTGAGTAGGACCCTCAGCTGAGCTTACTCACTACCTTGATGAGGCATGTGTACTTCGAAAGCATTTAGAAATTATCTCATGGGGTTTCTGTGCTCTTAGTAGACACCATCTAGCATTTGGTGTCATTGAGCAGATACCATCTGCAGTGACTCCATAGGCAGTGACTAGACACGAAGCTACAGACTCCAGGACTCCAACCTTATTGCTTTTAAGTGGAAGGAGAGAAGTAAATGGCCTTGAGGGGACAATCCCCATCCTAAAATGAAATACCCTGTAGGATTAATCACATGTAGACAATCAAGTTAGCAGGCATAATCAAGCTGCTCCTGCATGCACCACATATCCTGTGCTAGAGGATATTGTTTTGATATGCACAGACCATGGGTCTCAACAAGCTGTTTGGGTCATGGTTTTCCATGGAAGAAAGATTTTAAAGGATTCTTTCTGTATTAATTCACATGTTCTTCACATTATTTCTGTATTAATGATGGCAACTGTGTAGCATTGCTCATGAAATACATTTATGCCCACTATTTCAAAATTAACATATAGCCATGCTAATATCCAGCAGCACCGTGCAACATTTGCTTCTTCTGTAAGATTCTCCATTTCAAAAGCCTTGCTAAAGACTTTACCCTTTTCTTCGTCTACCTCCCCCCCCCCAACTGCTTACACTGAAGTATTTCTGAAGTACTCTGAAACTGCTTGCTCACCTCTGACGCAGCACTACCAACATGGAAACATTGTGCAAACAGGATGTCTTGGTTTAGCAACCATATTGTTCAGATCTGCTCAGAGCATGACATGAGAAAGCCCAAATGACACTTGCTTATTTGCTTCCCGTAGCAAATTTGTGTTGCTACTAGACAACATGGAACCTTCTACAAGGATTTTTGAGCATTTTCAGTGCTCATTTTACCAGTATTGTAAAAAAATGGAATTCCTTTTGGGTAAGCACAGTTATAGCAGCATAAGAATGCTTATGTTTTAGTATTTATACTGGTATGGCTTGTTCCTAGAAGGGATAATACTATGGTGTGATTAGAGAAGGGAGATTTAATCACTGACATTGTTTTAGATAGCCAATAGGGGAGAATGATGTTAAGCCTCCGGGTATCTGCAATGAGGATAAGGAGTTTGCATTATCATGAATGCATATGTAATATACTCTCAGGTCCTTAGGGGATAGCATGCTATCCTGCTGTCCCACTCAGACCAAGCATGATCTCCGCTAGAAAGGCACTGCTCACTGAAGTAAGTGGGCATGACAGGAGACAGCCAAATTCATTAATCCCGCATATTGGCCACAGAGCCCTGTTCTCAGGCTGGAAGAAAAGGTGGAACTGGGGAAATTGGGTTGGGTTTTTTTTGAATGCTGTGAAGTCTCTCCCATTTCTTTGTTATCCCAAAGTATTAAAGCACCTTGAAGTCTTGCTTCCAGTATCAGGCCTCGGAGAATTAACTTACCCCATCACATGTAAACTCTGTGGGAAGACTGACTGTACAGAATAGACTCGAACCCACAGTGCAGCATTGAGAATGTGCAGTTTGATGTGTGAGATGCTCAGCTTGTCCAGCTCAGTGACCTCTAGGGTCATCTTCCTTTCCTTTCCCACAGCAGCTCCCTTTCCCTTTGGTCACCAGTGACTATACAGGAAAGTCAAGTTAGTAGCTGAGCAGAGGTAATGGCAACAAGTCAATTTAGCTATCTAAAAAATATCTGTAAAAGCTATATATTGCTGAAGCATACATTACAGTACTGAGTAAGATGAAGAGTTACACTGAAGCTACTGGGAATGCAGTAATTTAAGAGCTATGCCAGGTCAGGAATGTTTTCACAAAATCAGAAGAAAGCTCAGGACTGGTAGAAACCTCTGTCTAGTCATTTTGGAACGTTTGGCTCAAACATAGCTGTGTTGTATTGCTGCTGGCTAAGAGCAGCAGTCTGAAAGTAATTGAGTAACAACTGTGAGAGGGAAGGCAGCTCTCTGCTTTGGTTTTGCTTTCCAAGCAGAGGAACATGCATACAGATGAAAGGAAAAAAAATTTAATAATAAAAATATGGTATCTTCTTCTTAGTTCATCCATTAGTGAACAAGGGATGATTCAGGGGTCAGAGCACATCAGCCTGAAACTCAGAGTCAGTGTCATGTTCATCCTGCTCCAGCACCTCCTGTATGAGCTTGGTAAATGATTTTTGCATATAATGTTCTGAAATTCCCACTGATTTTGGTTGCTTTATT